GAAGCTTTGCTTGGAAAAGGTGGCGCTGCTGCTGCACGTAAAGAATCGGCTAGGAACTAAATAGAAATAATATAAATACAAAAATAATGGTGGTTTGACATGAGCGAGAAAGTTTAAATTAGAAGTATAAAGACTTTTGTTTATGTATATTATAACTATTTAGTATTCCTTGGAGATTAGAATGGTCCAAGAGTTAGTAAGTAAAATCCATTTGTACAAATAAAAATTAATTGGATATTAAGAACTCTGTTTCCACACGAAACGTAAAGATTGTTTTAAACACTGATTTAAGATTCTAGTTAAAAAAATGTACACACACGTATTATTATAGCTAGATTATGCTAAATCACTGACTTATATATGACTCACTAACTAGCATACATATAATTAGGGCAATGTTATTTTAGGTTTGGTTTGAATTTCATGCAAAGCTACACGAGGGTTATCTACGCTAACCGTCCCTAATTTAGCAGTGACAGCAGCTAGTCATTACCATCCACCGCCAACTCTTGGGCTACTCTTTTACCAACGAATAGTGGGATTGACAGTCACTTTATAACGCCCCTACGGATGAAAGGGCGAACATGTTTGGTGGGAAGGAGATTCGAACCCGCGACCTTCAGATTGCGAGTCCATCACCCTAATCACCTGGCCATGACGGACCAGGTTATGTTACGTTAGTATTTAGTCAAAGAAAATACATTTTAACTTATTATTCGCTTGGATATCAACGGGTTAAGGTTACTTTAACTATGGTATGATCTCGCTACCATCTGTATAAGTTTACCTATCTTCGTTCACTTCCTAATCAGGCTATCATCAGGGCAAGATTTATTTCACTCTCTCCTTGATTTGGTAATCATCAAGAAATGTCAATTTAACTCATGTATGATCTGATTATTGTCTGTACAGGTTATCTATCTTGAATTATTGCCTAATATGCATGTTTACCACCAAGATATGGTTACTTTTACATTTACGTTTGCAAAAATCGAATATTACCCTTCTTAATGATGTCGTAGACATGCAATCTTAAGCTCTTAAAAATAAAATTTATTTCATTACAAAGAGTAATGTCATTACATATAATAAGTAGTCGGTGGTACTTTATATGTTTCAGTGATTGTATTCAAAAATGTTAAAGTGAATAATCCAAACACTACTTGACATAAGATACAGAGATATTTTTTTTATAGTCCAGCATGAACGGCAAATCTTACACTAGCGTAAAAAGATCAAGAAAACAATCTGAGCTATGTGAAGCCCGGGTTACAACACGCTGTATTTGATATAACACTTTATCTAAAGATTGAAAAAAAGGACGACGAGTACTGGTCATGACTATCATTTGAGGAGCTATGGGTAGCTCATATTACAATCCAAGCGAATTTAGTGTTTATTTTAGCTGGTGAAAAAATTAGCCATGTTATTAATCCACCTCATATTCAAAGATCAAAGTTCACGTTCTTTTTTTAAACATTATCGCAGTTGAATATGTAGTGACAGTGTTTTCTTAGCTTAATGGTAAGATATTCTAACATTCTAAGATGGAATTCTTCCCTGAAATGGAGAATAAGTAGGAAAAATCTGTAGGTAAACCCAACATTTCAGTTGGTAATATTACTAGTGTTGTTGGGTGTTCTTTTTATTTGACTGCAGAACTTTGTAGCAGTTGATCCAAATTATCCCTCGGGCACGTGATCTTATATACCACTAGTATTCAATGGATGTTGTTTATCTTTAAAGTTGGTGAACCCTTTTAACCTAGATCGTTATAAAGACACGTTTTAACTGAACTTGTGCATGTAGCTGTTCGATATTTTTCATAATTTTCTTCTTATTCACGTATGAACTATGAAATAGCATTTAAGTATTGTATGGCTAAAGTACTAATTTTATTTGATAACATCTAATATAACAACAGCTGCGGTATTCAGTTTTTATGTGTATTATTCTATTCAAGAACAGCATCGGAAATCAATTTCTTCTCAGCATTTGTTTAATGCTTTCAACTTCTGTATCAAAAAGATTTTGATTTCCTCAAATCTTAAATGTTCTTTATAGCAGGGTTTTAACTAGATTTTCTTCAAAAATTGAAGGATTTAAACTTTCAAAATGTGAATAAACTCCAGTGAAAGTGGATTTATGACACACTTCGGTGATAAGTATATTTTGGTTATTTGAGACATGTTTTCTACATAAGATCAACAGAATGACAAACTGTCGTTATTAGATGTTCATGGTATATTAGTTCACATATCCAATATGCAACCAGAAATATTCTGGATCAACCATTAAAAGGTTCTGCAGTCAAATAAAATAAAACCTACAACACCAGTAGTATTACTGTTTAAACGGATGTAATGTTCTCCAATTCTTTGCGCGACATTCTCCATTAAGCCAAAAAAAAACTGTTCTTAACCAGAAGATGAGTGCACGGCCACTACATCTTCAACAATGTAAAGAAAGTAGAGAACATGTATCTCGATCGTTGAATAATGAACAAATGTAAATTAATGATCGATAGAAACAAAGCTTTGTAGAAACGTGTTTGGTTTTGTAGCTTGTATCATGTTAATATGGAAACTTTATGCCCTATAGCAAAATGTTTTATAGGTTCAAATTACAAAAAAATTCTAAGTATCAATTGACAAAAAAGATACCCTTTATAACCGCTAATGATTCAGTTAATGTTAACAAAAGTCTGATAAAACAATAAATTTGATTTTCGAGCAAGAGTAGCTGTTAAAATAAATATTAAAACAAGTTAAAGAAGAGTATTTCAAATATTTTTGGATTATATAAAGGATACAACTGCTTATTGCTAGTAGTTTTTCTGAAGTTATATCTCATACCAAAGGAATATTTTTAGCCAGCAGGGGAGAGAAGGGATTATTAAAGGGAACTTCAACAGTTAAACTATTTAGTTCAATGGTGTTGATTTAATGTTAGAATGTTACTTTCTTTCACATTACAATGTCTGAATTTGTCAAGTTATAATAACTCGGCTGTTGAAGTTTTTTTCTTCTGTCAAACCATCACAACCTAATACGTCAAAAATCACTTCTTCATTGTTTATAATAATAATAATTTTTTTTTCAAGTTTTGATTTATTTCCGAGAAAATATTTATATTTTCATCTAATTCTTACCTGTCTGATCAACCCGAACCACTCGAGATGATGAACTTTCTGTCATAACACTGTCTAAACCCGGATACACTTAATGGTTAGGATAACTCTTACAGATTTGATCGACCCGAACCTTCACCAGACAATGAACTTCCTGATGTAGCACTGTCTAAACCCGGATACATCTAATGGTTAGGATAACTCTTACCTATTTGATCGACCCGAACCTTCACCAGACAATGAACTTCCTGATGTAGCACTGTCTAAACCCGGATACATCTAATGGTTAGGATAACTCTTACAGATTTGATCGACCCGAACCTTCACCAGACAATGAACTTCCTGATGTAGCACTGTCTAAACCCGGATACACTTAATGGTTAGGATAACTCTTACAGATTTGATCGACCCGAACCTTCACCAGACAATGAACTTCCTGATGTAGCACTGTCTAAACCCGGATACATCTAATGGTTAGGATAACTCTTACCTATTTGATCGACCCGAACCTTCACCAAACGATGAACTTCCTGATATAGCACTGCCTAAACCTAGAGAAGCCTGGTGGTTAGAGTCCAAAGGAAACCTGAAACTGGTGGTACGTTTACGGTTAGGCTCTGGTTCGAATGTAGGCATGCCAGTAGCCGAAGTGGTAGTTGTCCAAGTGCTAGCTGACATTCGACGTAAAAGACTAGGTGGAAGATTTTTTCGCAATCGCTGTAAAATATTCAAGATTATAATGTAGATATCCCATCAAAACGTTTATTACCAAGAATATGACTTTGGTATTTACATTAAAACTGCAGATTTGTAGAGTTTAATAACTTTTCTTTGGATTACTTTTTACAGAAAAGCTGTAAAATATTTATGATACTAAAACTTAGAAAAAACAAGTTTTAAAACTTTTATAAAGTTTATTGTGTTATTTTCATCACAATTACATTCGTAAATGATTAAAAATATAATGTATCTAATTATTGTTACTTTTTGACGTTTCTAGGACAGATAGTAAAATTTTGGAAAATTTCTTAAAATAATGCTACAATTAATAGAAATTTTGAAATGTATATACATTATTTGTTTAGTTTATCTTTACAACAGAAGACATTATCGAGAATACGAATATATTACTTTTAATTGCATTCTTATAGAACATTGTATGATTCAAAATAATATAAAAAATACAGTGCACTTTAAGACATCTTAAAAGATTATAATTATTCAGATACTGATTAACAGGTCTCTATTAATGACTAACATTACGAAAAAATTAAATTTCTCGAATAAACAGATGAGAAAGTACCCTTTTCGTTCGGTATAGAAAATTAGGTGAAGCAAATCTAGATTCTGTAAAATGACCTATTGACGGGTCATTTAACCTCCGGAAAATACTGGAAATAGTGTTTCAATAAACGGTATTGTTATGATATTAGCGTGGCTCTCTTCTGCAATACAGTTGTTATTTCAAAGGAACTAACTGTCTGGAACGTATTTACCCGCCTGTTCGCGTCACAGATGTCAAGTACTTATGAACTATTTTCAGTGAAGATGACAAACAACTTCAGATAAATGTTTATTTATTTATTCCACCCTTCAGTCAGCACTGAAAGTTTTAGAAAATGATAAAAAATAATTATGAACCTGCAGTAAAAAAAATTCCAGTTGTTATTGATGATGGTGGTTTATATTCGTGTAAAGATTCGGATAACGTGTTATCTAAACGTTTTATGAACAATTATATGTAATAAGCCCATAGATATCACGAAATTTTAAAGTACTATTAACGTTACATATTTAGAAAATGTGCAAGGATTTAAGAGTGTTTCACTTTTCTACTTAAAATTCTAAGGCTGCTTTAGCTACAAATTGTAACGAATGGCAAAAGTATAATATGTTAAAGAGAACCAAATGACTAAGTGCTCATGTGCTTCTGTGATTGGAGATAGATATACACTACATGACTGTATTCTACACATGGCCACACGCTACGCCTTTTTTCCATAACTTAGCATTGCAATTTTGTTGAACCAGTCATTATACATTTCTTTAATGGCTATAATCAACCTTATTTGGATAATTTATAAGTGTTTCTTAGTAAAGCTATCATCGTAAATTGATCGGTCTAATAATTTTGTCTTTAAACTAATGTAAAAGAAAAGCTGTTTTTAATGGCATCACTACTTAACATAAATTGTTCATAAGCGAACATTAACAAATAAAGTTTACTGAGTAAGTATCAAGCTTGGCGTTTAATTATGTAACTTTAATTTTATTTGATGTATTTTGAAATACTGAAATATTCCAAAAATTAACAGCGCTTGTTCTTAAAAAAAAAGCGTAAAATTTTCATTGATTCAAATTTTGTGTTTGCCAGATAAGAATGAATTGCAATATAAACTGATCACCAATTAAATGACAAATTGCCCATCAAGTACAAACGATAAACATTCCCACACATGAATGTTATAGCATTGTTCGTTCCTCAAGTAAGTATATATGAGAGACAAACTATCATTTATGCATTCTACGATAAACTTTTTTACTTTCTGCTTCAGTTTTTCATAATGATTCCAGATTTACTCCTTTTTTTTTGTTGTTGTATTTGAGTGATTTAGGTTAGTTTATTATGTTCAGCACATTACTGGATTTAAAACATCAGATCATTTTTTTAAGAGTTCTTTCTCAGCATTAATTGAAGACATTTTGCTCACTTTATATGCATCTATGAGTAATTTTCTACAAATTATATAAACATGAAGTTGGTTTGTAGTTGTAGTTTGTATTTGTGGTAAAATTATTAAGCCTATCTTCTGTCATCCTTAATTTTGAACTACTGACCAAAGGGAAGACAACCAATTAGCAGAACCTTACCATCCACTATCTACACCAAGGAATTGACTGCCACTTTTTTTTAACTTACCCACAGCTTGTATTCCGAGGAATATTTCTGTGATATCGCACGGATTCGAGCCCGTTGCGCCAGCTCCGACATTCAGAGCTCTACACAAGGAAATAAAGTTAGGCAGAATGTTGCTAAAAACAGTTAAGTGTAAACGTGGAGCCCAAATTGAATATTTGTGAAATAAATTCGTAAAGTAACATCACTACAGAAATTAAGAACTTTGATATATAAAATTTCGAGAATCCTCAAAACGAAAAATTATTTAGGACGACACTAACTTTTGGATTTTGGTAATTCAGTGCATCATTACAAACACCTACAAAAGCCAATAAGAAGTGGATGGAGTTGTCAGTTGTATTAAGTGCCACATATTATTCCTTTTGGGGATCAGGCGTGGTCTAGCGGTTAGTGTGCCGGCTGAACATCAAGAGGCTCAGTGTTCGAGCTCGTGATGTGTCGATGAACATATTTCGCATTTTCAGTTATGGGCGCATTATAAAGATTCCCATGTAAACGGCTTGAACTGCTGACTAGAGTTTCTTTCTGTCATCAATTCTAAATTAAGGAATGGCGGCTATATCTAAAGCTTGGGGTCTCGGACTTGATCGTGTAGTTAATATGTCGCATTAAGTGTCATTCAGGTTGAAAACAACAAATGATTCATTTCTTTTAGTCGGTCATTGCTTGCACTATATCTGTTAATAATAAAATCAACACTTTATTATGCACAAATTAGGGTATATCTGATTATATATTTTTTCTTTACATTCTTTTCTAGTTTTATGTTATATATCTTTAATGTCCTACTGAGAGTTATTCACCCTTTCGCAAATACTATAATTTTCTGAGCTCATGTTGCTTTTATATCTCGTGTGCTTTATTTGATAACTCTGGTTCTACACAGATATCGTTTTAGTGGATATCAAAATAAACAGAAAGTGGCCGAGAACTGTAGAACCAACTGGATACCTCACGTTTCTGAGCTCTTCAGACTTCATCAACTTTGTGTGGTGGCTTAACACTCAAAATTTTTTGACTAGTCAAAAGTATGTAAATTCATTGTTAATACATCACGAAATTTATTAAGAGCACTTGAAAATAAAGTTTTTCGATTCATGTTGATATTTTATAGAACCTACAAGTATATGGAGTTTGTTGTTTGATCACAGGCCTCATTTTCTATATGAATTATCACTCCCTTGACAAAACAACACATTACAGGAATAGTGAATTTAGTAATTCTATTACAACTAAGAATCAATATTGACATTTGAAAGAAAGATCTTTGCTTCAGCAGACTGACTTTAAAGCATTCTAGTGGATAATGTGAAACTCCTATAAAACTTTCCTTGAAGAAAAGAAACCGCTTGTAGAATAACTTTTATACAGGAGAATAATAATTGATATTAGATTCTCATTAAAGTTGTTTTATATACATTCCTATGGTTTACTCAATGAAATATTAAGTTCTTCACTTTCATACAGGAGGCGTGAGAGAAGCTTGTTTTCGCAAGCCTTTTTCCTTTACTGAAAATTAATGTTTGTGATATATACACACAAAAACTGCTACGTAAAGTTTATTTTGAAAAGCACTTCTTAGTAAAAGGATTTACTTCAAGTTCATGTGATAAGAATTTGCACTGACAGGAAAGATATCATCTTAAGACATGAATAATATTCTTTGATGTTGCTCATTCTGAAGTATAATGATTGTTTGTTTGTTTGTACTTAAGCACAAAGCTACACAATGGACTATCTGTGTTCTGCCCACCACGGGTATCGAAACCCGGATTTTAGCGTTGTAAGTCCGCAGACATACAGCTGTGCCACTGGGGGGGCGAAGTATAAGGAAAGCGGATTTTAACATTTTATTATGTATGTCCTCACTTAGATGTTATTGCTTATCTTTTACTCAGAATCTTTAGATTTGTCTAGCCCAAATATGCAATATTTAGTTTTCCTATTACAAACCTGTCTGTTGCAAGTTCTCCAGCAAAATCACGTAATATGTCTACGTTTACTCCAATGACAAACGCACTGGGGAGTGTCTTGTGATTCAACATAATTTTGCTTAAATGCAAAACTGATGTTTGCTAAAGTAATGTACGTTTTTATAAGTTTTAATTCAAAGTTTGTGTACATTTTACAGTCAAAGTGTATATGCTTTTTTATTGCTACCAATCTTCTCTGATTTTTCACTAAGTTTTGTCTCATTGTAACATCAAAAGATTCTTTTGTCTTACACAATATACTTAATAACACTTCTTATATTCATTAATGTTCGTATACATCATGATCGCAAGATAGATTATCCGGATTTCTCGGCCATTTGTTATACCGTGCTCGAGAAAAATTAGTTTACAGATGAAATTTCCCTTACTTACTCTTTAAGGTTTGTTTTGAAATAGGTATTAACTTGTGATGAGAAATTCATTTATCTATAATTCGTGTTGTTTTTCTTTACACTTCAGTTCTAATAACAAGTGAACTACAAAGTTTTTTTAAATATTGAAGATAACAGTGCTGTATCACACGATTTACGGCCCTCTTTTGTTTTGACTGAAATAAAATAAAACACCACTCAATTTTAACAGCGCACGAACTTTCAGCTAGTTGTTTGAACTTTTACTTTGTACTTATGCAAAATGTTTCTTACTTCATTTATAGAAAGCTGAATATGTCACAGTTGGATCTATCTCCCGGACAGTAATATTAGTGCTCTATATATATATGTAATATTAAAGTCGTATTTCCCGTTGTAAGGTGAACGATCTTACAGAGTATATCACCGGAAGAACATTCTCTGTCACATGAGTAAACTGATAGATACACGATCTATCTCATAGGTGGAGGCGTTCTCAGCGTATTAGAGGTAAAATTTCTAGGAACGTAATATTAAAGTAACAAGGAAGGAAGCATAAAGGTGGCACAGAGTCGAAGACATCGTTTATACAGCTGTAAAATATTTAACAGAAATAACTCGTAACAAGTTCTTAAATAACAAAATAAAATTTACTACTGACAGACAATTAGATACGTTATCATCTCAACAGATAAAGTTGTAAATACTTTTTTCTTGTTACAAATGTAATATGTTAACAGCATATGAAAAAAATAATGACTTAATCTTTTAGCACTGACATCTTCAAGCAATACTAATTACAGTTACATTAACAATACATGTAGACAGATTACGGCGCCAAAACTAGCAAAAACACCTAAATTATTTTAGAAACTCCAACTACATGAATTAACATAGAAAAGAAACTTCATAGCCTGTGACCAGAGTTTTATTAAATGTAATTGGTAAAAGTATCGGGTAAATTCAACATCATTTACAAGTCATACTATCAAGTTCTCTAGAACACAAGTGGTATGAATTATTATTATATTATCATAATTAATTCCATACAAATAGCAAACAGGAATAAAAACATGTGAGAATTACATAAATCGAAACGTTCGGATTCAGGAATATGTATACACTAGGTTATCCATTGATAATATTAAAAAATACTTTATTCAGTAATGTGTAGAATTTTAACATTTCTGGTAAATATATTTATCGTTTGTATGTACGAGGGGAAAAGTTATGTGATTAATACTCGTAAAAACTATCACACTTATAAATGAATTATTATAAGATCTTACTATTTTCGCACTTGACAAGAGTTTTGTTCACTTTGCTTAATCAACATGATTCCAAATATAAGAATAACATCAACACGCAGGTTATTATAACATTGTAAATATAAAACAGCACAGCTAGCTAACCTAACTGCTCAGACATCGTTGAATATATTTTCTCACCAGAACACACTCTTGAAAGAAAGGTCAGTAATTAGAGACAAGACATTTAGTTAAACCATTATATATAGAATATATAGTCAAATATTTCAATACTTTTAATAAGACAGAACATTTTGTTTTCAAAGTGATTATTTTTATATTCTATAGAACTAATACTCTCCAAGTAGTATGTTATAGAGTGTATGCTTTACAATCCATTAGATCCTACAGGGTTGAGTACGTTATATTAAAACGATTTTGAATATGCAGATCGACACTCGTAGCCGCTGTAACGTCGTGGTGAAACAGTATATACCAGAAATATATGTTGAGATTGTTTGGTATTTCCTAGGTAGCTTGATGTCACCAAAAACTGATCGCAAAATATTTATACATTTAGATCATAAAAATGTTTTTAAGTCAGGGTTTTAGAAATTCAAACTTGTGGATGTCTATTGAACCTTATAGTATTGGAAAACAAAGGAATATAGATGAATTTGGTACGTTAGAACTATTCAGAAAGAGATTTTCAATAAGTCGTACCCCAGCCACGGTAAGTAAAGTGCGGACTCTTGTAACAGGTGAGAATCCACGAATACAAAGATCAGTGGCAAAAGTGTACGTAACATAGTCAATAAGGCTTTCCATTTGGAAAATCGCACGTGTACACAAGCTGCTTCCATGAAATATCCAGTCAACCGTCACATATTTCAAGCAGGTGGAGAGTGAAACGGATTTTTCTATACACACCGATCAAGTCGTCGGAAGTAGCACCTATGGATTTCTGTGCGATGGAACTATTGAAACGGATGCTGGGAAACCGTCATTCTTGTACACTAGATGGATTATAGAAAACTACAGGGAGGAGTGGAGTACTCTGGACATAAGATCATTAATTCGCAGCCTTTTATAATGGAAATTACCGTGCAGGCTATTGTCAGGATGCGCGGTCGTCAGAGGGAGCAAGATGGACTTAAACGATGAAGTGTAGCTCCAAAATCATTCTAGTATAACATACTCAATCCTCTGTACATACTACAACTATAAACAATTTTAGACCGACTAATTTTGCATCAGTACAAAAGTATGAAAATTTAAGTTTGAAGTAGAATAATTCATGTGAAGTACATTATTGGAGTTTCAGTTGAAAACACCGTTGACAACTAACGTAATCAATTGATCATTTTATGGTAGTTTGGTCACTATAAGTTTTTACTGTTTTCCATAATTACCTTAAGTACTTTCAACAAGTTGCTTTATAATTAACCATACTAGGGTTAACTAGAGCTATGATATATTTACATGAAGGCCTCGTTGTATGTAAAATAAGCTCCACTTTTTTGAACCTACTAACAGTGTTATATCTTAGCTTCTCTGGTTGGAAATATGTATATAAATATTGGGCAAGATTTATTTAGAACCTTATTTTAAGTTCACAAATAGTATATGTTAAAATGAATGGTATCTGGCTACCGGATGTGTTTGTCATGTTGATAGTTGTTATGTGTCAAGGCATTAAATATATCAAATGTTTCGTCATGCATTGTTAACGTGGAGAAGACTAGTAATATGTGCGTGATAGAACGACAGTCATGTGAAAAACAGACAGGAAAAATACGACTTATATTATGTGTAACACTTCGTATAGAAAAAATGTTTCTGTAATAATCGATATGAAATACGATTTATGTCACGTTCAATATTACAATAGAACTGATGTTTCTGTATAGTACAGAAAACTCGATAGATACACAAGTTCTAGCTCTCCCTTAATTTGTGATGCTACAGGTGATTTATGTCACGTGTAACAAATATTAGGGAAAGAATTGTTTCTGCCAGGATCTATGACTTGTATGTTTGATTTGTTTCTGGATACTTTTCTATTATATGAGCAGCATGTGTTCAATTATATCTCATTAGATAAGAAATCCTCTTACCTTGGGTAACGCAGAAGGTCTCTCTCCAGTGTAAGGTATTTCTTCAGTATCAGAACCAGAGTTAAAGTCCGTCAGAGCTACGCTAGCTCCACCTGGTCGGTGTCTTGGTTGTGAAGGTCCATGTGTAGGAGGAGAGAGGAGAGAAGCCAAAGCTCGGAGACCACTAATGATATGAGGAGGAAGATTAGAGTCAGCTAGCATGTCAGTCACTATTCCGTGGGCCTCGGCCAGCAGGGCTATGTCCACAGTAGAAGTCGAACTCTAAGTAGAATTAATATCGAATCAATAATAATATGAAATTTTTGCACTTAAGCAAAATATATATTAAGAGAGAGTTTGTTTTTTTATATATTCGCGCCCAACTTCTCAAGGGCTATCTAGCTGCTCCTAGTTTGAACTGATACTTTAGAGGGAAGTCAACAGCACCCACTGTCAACTCTAATAACGCATCCACAACCCCAAAGTTTTATTTTTCGGTAACGGGACGCGAATGATGGACCCTTAGATCCTCAGTCCGGCGTACTAACCAATGGGTCACTCATAGCGCTTAGAGAAAGTTTTTGTTTTGTTTGTTTGTTGCTAAAGGCAAAAACTACACAGAGAGCTGTTTGTACACTGCCCATCGAGGGTATTGAAACCAGATTTTTAGCGTTATATGGCCTAGACTTACCGATAAGTCACCAGAGGGTGTAGAGAGTTCATTTGTTTGTATTTAAGCACAACGCTACACGATGACCTATATGTGCTCTGCCCAACACGGGTATCGAAACCCGGTTTCTAGCGTTTTAAGTCCGCAGACATACCGCTATGCCACTGGGGGGCAGGGTGCAAAGAGAAAGAGTGGCATTAAACAACTATTTGACCAGTGTACTAATCTTATCATCAAAATATCTGAAAACACGTGGTAGAAGCTTGAAAGGATTATCGTTGCTTCAAATATCAAACTCGTAATATACAAATTCGGAAATCGTCAATCAATACATAACAATTTAATATACTTTAAATACATAATAAATTAAGGAAATTGAGTTAATTTAAAATTTACGTTTGTAAATTAAATATAATAATATCTTTATGACTAAAAATACTTTTTTTCAAGTTTACGGACACAGAATATTAAGACACATACATAAGAATTTATCATTTATAAAATATAAAATAAAATTAATAAACTATATTCTTGCTTTCAGTTTTACTTAAGAAATCAGTTAAATTATTCATTTGTTTTGATTTAAGTGCAAAGATGCACGATACCTATCTACGTTGTGTCCATTGCAGGGATAGGACCTCAAAATTTAGCGTTATAAACATTCTAGCTTACTGCTGAGCAAACAGAAATTACTTAGAAAACATTATTATTTGTTAGACCCAAGATACGGTTTAATGTTCTTGAATGTACTGTTATGTTTCATACCGACGTATATTTCATAGTTAGGCTTGATAATGATCAATACACGTCATTCATAAAAACATTCGTTCTGCGTTCTAACAATCAAAGATTTTACAAAAAGCAATACTGCAAATATTTTTTCATTCGCAATCATCTGTCGAAATCAAGATCATTTTTGTATTTTTCGAACATAGCTTTGAAATGTACATAAATTATGAGATATATGAACTGAGTTGCGATAAAACGTTCTGATTTAAAATATTAATAGTTACTAAAGGTTCGCTTTTAATAATTCTATCCTAAGAGCGTTTGAAAATCCTGAACTTTACCATGGTGTTCCATATTCCGTGCTGCTCTTGGAACTACTCTCTCATTCACATGGCTATGATTATGCACTATTCATTACTAGAAATCCCTATTTTCATTTTAACAAGTTTCTTCGAAGAATGGCGAGATCAAACATAGACCATATACTTTGACAGATCCTCCACTGTGCAAACAAAAACAAGAAAGTCCATTAAAGTTACATTGGGAGATTTGACAGATATATGGACGAACAGATTCCAGTTTCTTCAACCATCTGTCTCATCAAAACCGTCATAGATTTTTAAGGTATTGCTGGTTGTTCGCGAAATTCTGGCTTGTAATACTTCGTCAATTTTAAATTAGTGTTCATAATCTTGTTAAAAAGGCAGAAAATCTATTTAGATTAATCGCAATGACATTTTGGGTCGAAGGGTTCTCTCTTGCAACTACAGCTTTCATATTGAGTACAATGGGAAGGGTTGCTCCAGTTTGGTTTAAGGTGTAATGTTTTTATGTGTACCTCCGCTTACATTGAAATTAACTGTGTGTACAAGGTATTACAATATGTACAAGTATTCAAACAATTGCTGAAACACCACACAATAGTTTATAATGTCAATGATACTATAGTTCAACAAAGAAACGTTAATAAACCTTAAAATAATTATATCTTCCGTTCTGTGAAAGCATTAAAAACAACTGAAGCTAAGTTAAACAAGTCTGTATCTTTTTATGTAAGGTAAATTGAGAAGTATTTACTTTCTATTTTCTCATTCAAGTATTGTTCTAAACAAACATACTTCTACATCCCATTTGCATTTAAGACATACATACACTATAATTCTCAATGGTATTTCAAACTTAAATAAAAGCTAAATTTTATTTAAAGGTATAAACACTTGATACCTCAATTAAACACACACATACACTCACTTGAGCTTTACACTTCTATTCATAAAAACATACACATTCTCCAAACTCCATACACAGTTTTACATACATTAACACCAACTTCCACATTCTTAGATGCTTTTTTTTTGTGACTGGTGGTGCAAATAATTTAAAAACATATATTTAAAATAATTTTAGAATTCTTACAATTTATTATGATTTCACTGATGGCATGAACAAAATAGAAACTATATTTTGTTTGACATATCCACAAACAACTTTTAAGTTGTCTTAGCTGTGTAGAAAATAAATACTGTGTCCATATTTGAGAAAAGTTATGTGTTTTAATGTACATGCTGTTATCACTAACTGGTATACATAGAATAAATACTCAACTGATTAAGGTTAAGACTGATAGACGACCCCCCCCCTCATTATGTGGATCGTACTTTGACAGTCACCTCTAAAATCCCGGACATATCTTATACCCCACACTATAACCTATGCTCTGGTGACTTTGTTTTGGTTTAAGACTTTTTTATATTATAAATATATATAATTATATCTTAACTTTTAGAGCCAATGTTTATATTTGAACTCTAGCATACAGTTGTCCTTTTTAAAGTTACATATGAAACAGCATATGGTTTGAAGTGTAGGCAACAATAAGCGCGAATTACGTGTCATGATTTCGTTAGAATAAAATGGAGATGTAGTCAGTTGAAATGGTGCCATTAACAGCACTAAGATACGACGGTACTGAATGTTTAAATACAGTGCAATAAATCAATGGAGTGTTCATAAAACATTATATCCACAATATCCTAAAGCGTAATAACTAACATGAACTACTATGCCTAAAATACTATATTCTAAAAATTATGTATTAAACGGCTTATGCATTCTGTTTACAATACCGTAATCACTTGTACTAAATATAGTTAGTACAATTCCTACTAACTAATACAAACATTTGCAGTTTCGATGAATGGATAAACAGAATGCTATAATTCTTAGTAATTAGACGTAGACAGTTATAACTATAACACAATATTATAACTGATAATTGTAATAAACAATTGTATCTATACAACAATATTATAACACTTTTTAACTAATGCAAGTTTACATGCGAAGCATTGTTGATATAATTGATAACCAACGTGAACAAGTGTACCTTAAGCATAATATAAGATGTACTTCTACAGAATTCTCGACAGTGTTCTGTTTCAAGACAAATTAAAACCAAAATTAAGAGTAAAAATTTTTGTATTTTTTGCTTTTGAAGTTCATATGTCATGCTGTTTTGTAGCCTACAGAGTGAATAATTCTTCTCGTGATTCATGGCAATCGCACGTTTTACTGACGTCATGATAGTACAAATTGTAACGTTAAGCATCCCTTACTTGACGCCAGTTTAATGTCTACTGACAACACTGTATAGTGGTGCGAATGGTTAAAACAGGAGACCTCTTTAGGCGGCCTTGGGCCTCCTTTAGGGGAAATAATATTGTGTGTGTTCATAAATAAATGAATAAGAGTTGATTAAACACAAGACAAATCAGGCCTTTCGTTCCGTTGTGGGTAAAAAAATACTAAGAACCTTATTCACCAACATACATAACTGTGTATACTAAATAAAACTATGGTAATTATTAACTTATGAACCTATTCGTTGTACAAATGACAACTTTTATTAGGAATATTCCCAAACTGTGCTGCAAACACTTTCTAAAAAGTATTCAAATATTACTTTTTATTAATAATTTCCGAACGGAAGTAAGCTAACTATATAGAACAGAACTAAAAAGTTGATGAACTCAGTTTTATATAACTGACTAGAAGCATATGATGTAGTAAATTGATTTTCAAGAAAACTAAAGCCTATAGTTATTATAACTAATTGAATTATTTAGATATCCTCTCTATTAACGACATTTTTTTATCATAACCAATTCAGCTTCCATAAATGTATTCTTAAAATTGTAAAAGTTCATAATAAACATTGATAATAACATTTAAAACTATTCTAAACTTTATAATAAATAAAAATTTTAAATAAAAGTAGAGTAAGTCATCACTTCCAAAACAAAAACTCAACAACAACAAAGAAATACAGTTCCTACGATCCAAACATCTTACCAATACACCAACTTAGGCATAAAAGTAAAGTTTTTTGTCTGCAAGTTCCATATACATAACATCACTTGTAGACAAAACGAGTAACTATTAACAACATGCGATACCCGTGGTGGGCAGAGCAAAGATAGCCCATTATGTAGCTTTGTGCTTAATTACAAACAAACAAACAAATTAACAACATGATTACATAGACTTCACAGTGAAGACACAACTCTGCACGAGATAATTGTTAATTATTGAATTATATGTCGCAGAATGTTTAGCAGGTTAAACACATGGATGACGCCTGTTAAAAGCTAAAAGACTATAACAAAACAAGATATAACAAAATAATGTTTTAGAAAAACAAATTCTAATACCATTTTGTCATTAGCAAAAGTAAAAGCAATCAGACAGTAGATAATATCCTCATAAATTTTGAATAATTTGAACAACGGCTCAAGCTAGTTTTTACTGACCGTCAATCTTATAACACACCCCATACCCCAAAATACAAATTGTAATTTCTTTATCCCCGGTAGCAGGACGTAAA